GGCTTTTAATTAATTTTAACTTGTATGTCTGATCTTATTGTAAAGCACTTTGTGATTTTTATCTGTGAAATGTGCTATATAAATAAATTTTACTTACTTTACTTACTTACTGTGGACTTTTTAATGTCTACAGTCTCAGATCAACACAGCCCTTCCCATATTAGATTCTTGATGAATGTGTGTTGTTGTTATTCAACCTGGTTCAATGTGCCCCTTTTTAACTTTGAGCACCCGTCCCTTTAAACCTCTCTGCACGGCCCTGTTCAGGTAACAGGAAGCAGCACAGGTGTGAGAAAGGGCGCCGAGTGTAACCATGGAAACGGCTCCTGATGGCTCGAGCCGCTAGTTTCATTTTAGCTGATCTACCCATTTGTGTCACTTCCGGTCTCTTTCACTTGTTCTGTCAGCTTCACCTGTGCTGGAGTAGTTTCACCTTTGACCCTTAATATGACCCTATTACCTGCGAAGTGTACAAGAACTTGAACCACTCTCAGAGAGACGCTTCGAGACGGCCGACCTTTGACCCAATGACACTTCCTCCTTTCACAGTTAAATAGAGGTTTGCTCTGAAACTGCAGCTTCAGTCACGATGTGTACGTTTAATGACGTTCACAGCACGATGGTGATGAAGAGCAGATGGTCTGATGAGCACGGAGTGCCGCTGCTCGCTCTCTGTCAGGGGTTAAATGTGTTTGTTCCAGCTGAGAAACATCAGGCTCAGGCGTCTGCACCGGTGATCAACACTGAGGTCAGAGCCTCCATTGGCTCAGTGAAGTTTGTCACACTTGCTGATTTTGACTGAACACACAAACACGCGACACTGAGCATTTCATCAGATTTTAATAAGCAACAAGCTGCAGTGAAGCTGCTCTCAGAGTAAAGCAGCCGGTAAGCATGACAGCATGTGTTCACCTGCACCATAAACGTGCTGACATTTGTGTGACACAGTTAAGATCACAGTAACTGTTTACATGAGTTCATGTGTGCAGTGCTGAGGAAAGGATGAGCTGCGTGACTCTGCAGAGATCAGTGATCTCGTGAGTATTTCTGGATTACATGTCTCAAGGATTTCCTGCAGCTGCAGACGCACCTGCAGCTGCAGACGCACCTGCACCTGCAGACGCACCTGCAGACGCACCTGCAGCCTGCTCCACATAGCAGTCGTTGTCAAACAGCAGACCTTCAACTCGGTTGTGTTTTTCAAGAAAGGCTTGAAGCTGTGACAGGGTGCACTTGTCAATCTTGTTCTCAGTGTTTTTAGCTGTGGCACCTCCACTCTTACAAGATGTCTTGTCACAGTAGCAGTAGGCGACCCACATGTAGTCAGGGATGTTGACACGAGGCTGGTTATCTCTTTTGATCCAGGTATCTTTTGATGGAATCGCACCGACCAGAACGTAGACGGAGTGCTCTTTGGCCAAAGCTTTGAGTGTATCCTCATGATCTTTCCACATCCCTTGGTTCAGCTTTTGTTTTTGGGGAACTATATTAGTCAGGGTCATAGTGGCTTTGGAAGCATCACCTGTGGAAAATGATGTAGAGACAGAAGAAAGATGTGATTGGTGGGTGGATGAGAGCGTAGCAGGTTATGAAGTGCTGTGTAGAATACATTTCCCTCATAAACAGAACGTAATTATTTTTAAAGGTCTTGTGTTTGAAGTCTTCTTCTTTCCTGTGTTCTCTGGTTCATGTTCCTGGGACCGTGTTCTGTCTCCCACATGTGAGAACACGCGTGTACATCTTACTGAGTGTGCATGAGACACACGACAAACCCCTCAGAACAGCTCAACCTCTCTTACCTGCATGATGTGAGTTGGGATTCAGGTGACCTCGATTGTATCCTTTAGGAAGTTGTTTGTAGTCGACATCTGTTGCCTGCATCTTTCCTATTTCATCAAGGTTTAGTGTAGGATGTTTGTAAATCAGTGAATCCGCTCTCATCATCTCCTTTTCAAACTCCTGTTTTACCAGCTAAACGTAGAAGATCGACATGAAGTGATGTAAACATGTTATAGATCAGCTGATCTACATACACACAGTACTTTGTTTACATTAAAACGACCCACTCTGGTGTATTACTGTAATATTAAACACAGAAAGTACTGCCATCACTTTTTACAGTCTTCATTGAAATGTAAATGTGTGATGAAGCTTTAGCATCTGTCAGGAAGTCTGGGATCAGCTGTCTGTGGAAGAAACCTGAGTGGGTCTCATTTACAAAACTGTCGTATACCTGAGGCTCCACCATCCAATCGTGGTCGGAGCTTATGCCGTCCTCAACTATGTAAGCCGAGTAGACGGGAATGCGGTTGGTGGTGTCGTACAGGGTGGCAAAGTGGTAGCTGGTGGTTCACAGAGTCAATTAAAAAGATTGAATCTTAAAAGTAAAGTTCACAATAGTAACAGCTCTGCAGTTTAACAGAATAAATAAATACTTTTATTTAATATGATCATTACCAGTTATTAAACTTCTGGCAGATGTGGATGTGATTGGAAGTCCACTTTGGCACATGCCCCTTGTAAAAGTATTCCATGCAGTCCTACACAACAGAGCAGCAGAAACCAGGTTTAAACACACACAGAAACCATCTTATCATATTTATGAACACACTGACACACAAACCTCAAAGTTTTCCACAAAGTGTGCGTTGACGGGAAAGACGAGGAGGAGGAAGCACATGGTCACCGAGCTCTGCATACTGGATAAGTCTGAGATCCTCTATGTGAGTAACACCTAACACAAGAAGAAATTAGCTTTTTGAACAGCATAGTAAAATAATAATGTGTCGCTGCATGTTTCAGCTCACCTGTGCTGCATGTTGCTCTCCGCAAGAACTGCTGCTTTTTATGTGTAACCTCATACCTTCTCTTTGTTCTTTTTTTATTTTCCTATCTGTGACAGTTTGTGCTGTAAAAATGAGAATGTACCATATCAGGTGGCTGCATGTGTGCCGTACCTAAAGTAGACCTGGTTTTATTAGGAAAAGTAAGAGTTAAATATTAGCTATACTTATCGCCTCATGGTCACCGGTCCAAATACTGAAGATACTTCACTTCCTTGTCTGTTCGTTTTAACCTGTTGGCAGAGAGGGAACCCCAAATGATTGGAACATGAATTTCAGGAATATAAAATGTGATCCCAGAAATAATACTGATACTGTAATCCTTTAACTGGTAATAAACCCACCAGTTTGTGTTCTTCCACATGGCTGCCCACACAAACATTTACATTAGACAGCTTCCTGGGATAAACAGCTACACGTTTCACTAATGTGTCACTGAAGACAACACTCACACGCTCCAGAGGCACAAAGAGAGTGCAGAGCTTTGTATGTCATCGTGCTCAGTGTTCCTACAGCAAACGTGGGTTTGCAGCTGTGCCCATCTTCAACAAAGAGATTAATCATCTCATTTTAGCACTACCCTCTGATTATTTAGTTTTCAGTGTTTGGAAACCACAATAATATGGCTTTTATATTATTATAATGACTTTATGTTAGCAAGATGTTAACTGGAAGTAACCAGAAAAAAAACACAGTGTGTTTATTAAATGTTTTCGACTGTAGAATGAAAAGCATGACTTTTATAACTTGCGTACCTTCCCCCTTTTTCTTTTTTCTTTTACTGTCCTCATGTTATCTCTACTCATAGTAAAACATTGGCTATGAAGAAGAATTTGGCTAAAAACGAGATAAAAACTAGAGTCTGCTTCCAAATGTAAATTACATGCAACCTGATAATTCACAACATTAAGAATTAAGTTAAAGAATATATAACAAACTAGTCTTTTTTAATATAGTGTATCTATTCATCTTCTTCCACTTATCCAAGTCTTGGTCACGCTGGAGTCTATCACAGCTGCCATGTGGTGAGAGGTGTGGGTTTGCCTCAGCTACAGGTTTTATAATGGCCTCGTGTACCAGTCATTCCGTCACACACAGAGACACAGAGATAACAATGTTTGCCTTTTCTGCAGCTATGGGGCATATATGGTATCACTCTTGGCTGGAAGCAGTGCTTAAACAATGGAAAAAACACAAACTTTGT